ACTTACTTGCTTACCACACTTGTTTCCCTTCTGAGGGCAATATTCACTGTCTTATGTATAGCCAGGCCAGCTGGTGGAAAGGGGTTGCCTGTGTAAGGTAGTGATGAAGCCAAGGCACACCCCCCACATTAGGTTCTCGACCAAGGAAATTCTGAAATTTCTGCCTAATAATTTGGAATCATTAGAAATGGCAAGGATGAAACTGTTCTGAATTGAAACGTCCAGGCGACCTAAATAAGATTTTTAACAATTTCCAGTGTAGCTCATTGCGGTCTAATTACTCTATGTTATGTTCCTTTCTCATACGTCTATGAGCCCCTCTAGTGAATGCTGGTGACTGAATCACACGTGAGACAGATTTTCATTTGAAATGGAGTGCTACAGAGCAGAACAACAGAGACCTACTGTGAAAGAGTATGTGTTAGGACATTTCATTTTGCAATTCACAACCATTCGTATTTTTGTATAATATGAAATGTAACACAATCAGAGCACTGAGCACTGAGCACTGACAGAAATATTCCTAGAATGAAACAAGGTTGTGGCATTCAGTTGATTATAATATGAAGCACTGACTGATACATATTGTGTTAGATAATCAAAATTGCAAATCATTGCAAGGATGAAAGAAAAAATTTATTACCACAGATTACATGTATGTGCTCCTGTGAACTGACCCAGCCTTCCATCATTCCAATCTACACATCCTGTGCACATGCATTCCCCTGCCCTTTCCTCTATCTCACCCTCACCCCTTTTGCCAGACTTGTTTCTCTTTATCGGAACACTCCTTGAGGAGAACTAGAACTGCGAGGTTGACTTGGAAAATTTGTTCAGCTTCTTTTCTGAAAATTGTTTGGGTTCTTTGTCACCTCTGCACCAATCAGCCAGTTCACACATTACCACCCAAGATGAGTAAGGTAAGGTTTTTCACTTCAGGATGACAGAATACATATATGCTGTTTTGGTTTTGTTAAGCTTTCTTTTAGATACTGATTGTTTTCTGTTTTTTGTTAATTCCATATTTTCTCTATTGATCGTGTGTGTATATCTTGATCCAAGATAAACCTATTTGTATAGCTTGCTTTGCCAAACATGTTTTCTGAGGTTATCAATAAATGAGGGTCTTCCATTTTTTAATAACAAGCCTCATTCAATTTTTTGCTGTCATGATATCTGACTCACTGTTAACAATGTTGTTGATAAATATGCCAAGATTAGAGGGTGACAGTCCAGCTTTATAGCAAATATATGGTGTAAAATTTGGTTAGTGGGGGTGGAGTCTAACTGGGTCCACTTAGCATGGCGGCCACTGATTGGTCTATTGTAGCCTGCCCCGGGTGATTATGATGATGGAGAATTTGGTGGAATGAAGATTGGCAGGGGAAACTGAAGTACTTGGAGAAAACCCGCCCCAGCGCACTTTGTCCACCGCAAATCCCACTTGACCAGACCCGGGATCGAACCCATGCCGCCATGGTGGGAAGCCAGTGACTAACCACTTGAGCTATGGCACAGCCAAATATATGTTGTAAGTTCTCTTCAAAATTTTGTTGCACTAATTTTCACCATATTTCAAAGAAACTACATATTAAAATAAATAAAATTGTAAAGAAACAAAAGAAAATATTCTATATATAACAGCTGAGTTTTCTTAAAACTGTATACAGGAAAATGGATTAATTCTGAATAACTTAATTTTTATTCTGAGATTCTAGTTAAGAAACATACACCATATCAAGTGTGATGTATTTTCTGATACTATGCATCTTGCAGTATTTGAAATGGCAGTTTAACCTGGATATGAACAAGAACAAGTAACTAAATTTGTCATATGGTAAAGGTAAAAACAGTTGGTTTATTTTTTATGTTATCTGTTATATCTATGCACAAGGACTTTATAATTTGTTACATATTATTTAAATAACACATTTATTCTTACAGTTCTCTTGTCCCAAATCTTTTTAATTCTAAAGCCAGCCAAACCTTAGTAGAAATTTTACAAAAGATAAATATGGCTGATGTCTTTTCTAGTATAAAGATATCTCCTAATTTCATATTTTTCCTGCAATATATGCATTGGAAGCTTATAATGTCTCCACTGTAATACTGTGCTGAAATTTGCTTTAGAACAAAGAGGAAATAATATGACCATGATAGAATTAACCATGTGGTGCTACCATGTTGTCCCATCTGAAGCCTTAGTGTATGCAAGAGCAAGTGATGTATGTAGTATGTAGTATATTACTGTACATTTATGCCTCCTCTCTGGTACCATTTGACTTGCCATCAAAAACATTCCCATAAAAATTCATCAGGTTGTAAAGTGAAGGTAACAAGACACTGAAGTGTTGATCTGCAATAACGTGTGTTCCTTTGTCTCCTGTTCCCCCAACTGGGCAGCAAATGACTGAATTCACTAGCATGTACAGCTACATGAAGATCATGAGTGAGGGAAAGGAAAAGTCCACAGGTAAGCATGAAGTTATTTCCATCATATTTTAGTGAGCTTTGCTATTGATCTCTGATACTTGATCATTTTGTCTGAGTTTTGTGGTTTTATTACATATGGACATGACTACCTAATGTGATTGTTTAATGATTTTCTTTTAATAGTTTCATATTATATTAACCAGGAGTGGGATAATAGTACTTAATGCCAACATTTTAACTTAGAATTTAAGCTAAATTTCAAGTTTCAGTTCTTCATTATACTTTCAGCTTCAATATCTTATGTACTGTAGCAGGATTGTAAACGCAGAACTAATGTAAATGTTTGGAAATCATACTGATCAAGGTGAATTGGTGTTTTACATACATTGGGGTTCCCATTTGCCCTGTTTTTCCTAGGATAGTCATAAAATCACAAATTATTAGTTTTTCTGTTGGCAATATGTATTTTTTTCCATTTATGTTGGTAGTATTTTGATTTTCTTCCATAACATAAGTTCCAGTTGTATCATTCTCTGCATTATTTGTTGTTCGTTACGTTGTGTTATGAGATCCTGTGAAAATTTACTGGTTTTCATCCATATAGTGATGGCATAACATGAGTGCAATATTAATTACAATATTAAGAGCAAATATCAGTTTATTAAAGGTATGAATGAGAATGTTGAATGCATGTTATGCAATGCAAAATTTTGCATTGCACATGGTAGTTGGTCGGACATCGTCAGTCATGTTGGAAAAAAAGAAACAACAACATAAACTGATTTTTCAAAACAAAGCTTCCAATAACTGCATAAGTAACTACTTGAGTTTGAAGAATATTAATTAACTGGAAAAGCAGTTATGACTAGTAACACAGGAAACAACCTTTGCATATCATACTGCAGTGCATAATCACAGCCTCAAATCCAAGTACTGCACAACCACTATCATGAGGAAACTTTTCAATGAGGAATTCACATGTTCACAAACAAAATACAGGGCAATAATCACCAATGTTATTGTGCCATTTGCAACAAAACAGATTCTTCAAGAGCTAAAAGAAGCTTGTTTCATTTCTATATTGATTGACTCATCCAGCCACCAGGACAAGAAGTTAGTGCTCTTGATTGTTAGATATTATCATGCAGAAAAAGGTGTGATGATCAAGGTTAGTTAATTTAGATGGTGAAAATACAGACCTGCTGCTTTCTTATGTGTTAGAAATGTTACAGAAATTAGATCTCCTTGAAAAAGTTATTGCAATGTCAGCAGAGAAAATCAATACAAATGTTGATGGTAAGAAGAGGAAAGAAAAGAATAATCTGTCTACAGATTGCAAGAAAAAACATCAAACAACTTGATTGGTATTGGTTGCCCTGGACATGTGGTACACATTGCAGTGAAGACTGCTTATCTACTGATCCTCAGTTAGTAATTAACAAGATTTACCAGCATTTCTGCATATATTCTGCCCGAGTCGAGGAACTGAAATTATTTTGTGAATTCACCGAAACAAAGTATAAAACTGTTTTGGGTCATAGCAAGACAAGATGGCTCTCCCTCTTCTCTACAGTACAGAGAATTATTGATACTTTCTCTGCATTAAAATCTTATTTCCTTTCCCTTGAGAAGTGTCCAGTCAGCCTTCAGAATTCCTTTGTAAATCCACTTTTATTCACCCTCTTATATTTCCTTGCCAGCCAATTAGAAACATATTCCCATACCATCAGATGTATTGAAAAGCAAGATACAACATTAATTGAAGTGAATAATGAAATTAGCAAACTGTTAGACAAGTTAAAATATATGAAGACAGACTTCTTACAACTGCTGTGAGAGATCAGCTGCAATAACTAGAAAAAGGAGGACATATAACCATTGAAAAGTTTAATAACTAGACTTCTATCATAACCTGCATTCAGTATATTCAGTAATGGTGTTTGCCATTTTTTATGCCTCTTCAGTCTATGGATTTGATCAATTTGATGGGAAAGGTGACTTGGAAGAGTATACAAGTTAACTATGTTTTCATGCCTCTTCAGTCTATGGATTGGATCAATTTGATGGGGAAGATGACTTGGAAGAGTGTACAAGTTAACTATGTTTTCATGGAGACTGTGGTACCTGATTTGTCACTGAATGAAGATGACTTGTTTGATGAGTGTTCATGTGTACAAAAATATTGTGAAAGCAAATTGGAAGTGTGGAATGAAAAAAATGACCAAAATGTTACTGAAAAATGATGTGAAATGTTGACTCAGTTTACAAAGGAGAACATAGATGCTGTTAACATTAAATCTCTAATTAGTTTTGGTTTGACACTGCCAGGATCTAATGCAATGATTGGAATGTGTTTTCTCAATAATAAATGTGTTATGTTCCACTGAAAAAAACACTCTTAAAATAGAAACAGTGAAAACTTTAACTGTTGTGAAGACCCACTTAAAGATTTCTTTTTTTCGGAGGTATTTTCCAAAATATTGAAAGAAAAAGTTTTTCTGGAACAGGTTCACAAATCTGATAAATATTCAGGTGAATCTGGGAAGGCTTTTGCAGAGTAAGACCAGCCATGTTTCTAAATCGACAATTTTGAGCTCATTTCTGTATGTTTAAATTTCTCAGTGTTTAATATGTAATGTATTATTGTTTTTTTTTTATTATTTTTAACATGCCCATTAAAAATACATTATGGGAATCCTAACATACATCATTGAAGAATTCTTTTTATTTCTGTTGAGTTGAGACACAGATGATGAATCTTGTGAGTGCCTAGTTGAAGATTTACTTAACCAATAAGAAGTGGTGCTAGTTAACCCCATTGCTACAGTACTAAATTCTGAGCTTAGTGAGATCTTGTGGCTCATCTGTTAAACATTTTTTTAATTCTTTGTTTGGCTTTTATTTTGAGAGTGACATAAGCTACATTCATTTCATTTCAGAGTTCTCTAGTTCAATTTGACTTTCTCTTATTTCATAGTTAAAAATAATTAGTTAAATAATGAAACATTATGTATTCTTTTAGACATCTTTCTGTCCATAACTGTACTTTTTGCATTCAGTAACAACAAATTTGTCTTAAAAAACTAATTAAATGCATGATGAACTATTGGATTATCAAGTGGCTTCAGATGTTAATATAAAAAGAAAATCTGTAAATTACTGGTTCCAGCCATTATCATAGTGAGTACCAAACTTGGCCTAGTGCCAGTGGTTCACCATCCATGAATTTCACTTAATGGCAGTTTCTAAACTGCAAATTGGAACCACAAATTTATTTAACTTGTTGCTTTCTATAACAGATAGCATGCACTTAATAGCACAATTATGAGTGAAATTTTCGTGAGATAGAAGATTTAAACCTATTGTTACTGAAATGATTCCAGTTAATTTAATTAAATTAATGTCATATCACATTAATTTCACTTCATAGCCCTATATACTTTGTTTATTTGACTAAAGATTATTTGATTTTCAGTTTAAAAATCTGTTGTCTTATGACAGATTTCATAATAAACTAGAATACTTTTCTGTATTAATGAATCCTAATATATGCAACATTGCTGTTCATCACATTACAGTTGCCTGGGATTATTTATGTTTTTGCAGTTTCTTATTGTATTAAGGAAGCAAATTATGAAGTTTGATTCACAACTCTGAGCTACAAGTATGACAAACTTTGAGGTTCTGACAATGTATGACTATATGTCTCTGACAATAACAGTAGGTTCTCATTCAGAAAACATGAAAAGTATAAATAGCAGTATAAAGATGCATAATTCTGTTGTACCAGGTTTTGATGAAATTGAGTATCACCAACCTCGTCCTCTTAGTGAAACCTACCAAGTTCCTCCAGCAGCACGTGGCCTCATGGATAACTATCAAGTACCACCCACGGCACGGCCATATTTTCCTCCTGAATGTGAAATAGGTTACATGGAAATGCATCCTCCAGGTTAGTCAATAGAATAGGGTAGGATGCTGGGAGCTACACTTTATTACATCTTTTATATAATTGTTAAACTGACCAAAGAATTCTCACAGGTGGTGGGGTTAAGAGTTGCTAGGAGGTTAGGGCCTGTTCCCCAGCTCTGCCACCATAACTTTCCTGTTGGTGCCCCTTACCTAATGCTGGCGCAGAATGAGTAATCCAGCCAATAGGATTGGAAGAATGGAAGTTGAGTAAAGAGAGCACAGGAAGGAAGAATAGATGGTTGAGGCTGCCCATGAGAATTCTTTGTCTGGCTGCACTCAAGATGCATTACTTCAGTGCTGTGTTGTTAAACCCTCAGTGTTATACACCATACATACCAAGCCTGCCATTTTGTTATATGTTGCTAAATGATGTACATAGCATACCTAGCACAGCTGCAACTTTTATCTAGTCTTTAATAGTAAACATTTTTAAAAAGCTAATTTTTGTAGCATTTTGAAGGGGAAGCTATGAGCTTCTGATCATGTGTTGTTGGTCATACTAATAGATATCACAGAAAATGAGAGAGAACTGAGATCCTGTAGGTCTTAGAATCCTTTGGTATGCTGTTTAACATGCAGGAAGATGTACTGGTTCAAATGTTATTATCTTATGATATCAGAAAGTATTGGCTTCTTAATGGACTCCCTTTCAGCTTCATATGTGGAGACAAAATTTATAAACCTGCCACAGTTCTTTTAAGCTACATGAATTACCATATTCAGGACGTTTCCATAAAAAAATGTAATACATACTTACCAAAAAATTTTATCGTTTGTATGATTAAATAGGTTCATGATAGGAATTTGATTTGAATTTCAGCTCCACTTTCCAGAAATAGTCTGGATTTTCTGAATACGGTAGCAGTAAATTCAGAAGTTCCTGCTGCAGGTCTTCGAGCACAGTCTCCTTTATGTACCTCACCAGAGTCAGACAGTCTAGATCAGATCAATTTAGAAGAGGAGAGACGTTCTGTTTTAGGCAAGTAGTTATGCTATCATGGCGCTGAGACTAACTCAGTGTGGGTGCATTCACATTATATTTTTGAAGCTTCAGTGAACACTTAATTCATGTTAATCCCACTGGAATTCCTATTTTATGTTTCTAAATCTCAGATTTTACCTCATTCAGTTTTCAGTTTCTTTGGTCCTATTCCATTATTTCCTCAAGTTAAATGTTTCCTCAGTCAAATGCAAAAGTCAAAGTAACCTTAAATGGTGATTCTCTCACAAGGAAACTAAAACATTCCTCAATACTTTTGTATGGTTCCCTATGAAAATTGTCATGTACTTACCATGTATGTTGCAAAACAAGTTCTGCCTAGAGCATATGCTGAAAATAGCCCCCTCCAGCATCCAGGCACTTTTGTATGCGAGTTTGCAAGTTGGTGAAGGCATCTGGTAATATGACATCAGTAATGGCAGCAACCTTCTGCCATATTGCGTCTTTGAGGTTGTCAATTGTCTGCGGCTTATTGTCTACACATGGCCCTCCAGTAAACCTCACAAGAAGAAATCAGTTGTGTCAGGTCTGGTGATCTTGGTAGCTACAGATTTTTAAAAATTCATCGGTCACCGAAATAGCTTTCAATTTCCCTTGTGCTTGCATTAGATATGTGGCACATTGTGCCACCTTGTTGAAAGTAACCTTCTGTTAATTCATCATCTTATAATGGTTTATAAATTCACTGAATATATTCAAGTACCCCTCTGTGGTAACAATTTGATCAAAGAATATGGGACTGATAATTTGTCTATGGGACAAGGCACACCACACCATGATTTTCTCTGAATGTAAAGGCTCCGCATGAATTTCATGTGGGTTTTATTCCTATACACACGTGTTTTGCAAGTTTATGTAGCCACTCAGATGAAACCTGGCTTCATCTGTAAACTATGTAATGTCCAAAATCCCTGGATGTTCCTCAGCTAAATGTTGAAACCATAAACAATATTGTACACATTTCTCCAAATATGTTGGAAGCAACTCTTTGACTGACACATGATATGGGTACAGTTTCACTTTTTTGTTAGCTCTTTGACATGTGAAATAAGGAATGCCAGTTTCTTGCAAAAGTCTTCTTAAGGAGTATGCCAGTAATTGAGCCTTCACATCCTGCACTGTGTGATCAAATATCTTCCGGCTTTCTGCATGTCGAGTCAAAACACTTCTGGTTGTCACTAATTTTTTCACCAATTTCTGAATACAGGATTTGGTTGATGCACTTCCTTCACCATACTTATTCTGAAATGCTGTCTGACATTGTTTAAATGAACCTGGTCACCAGTATTCATGAAGGCTCTTCAGCTGGGTACATGTTTGCAGCACACACCATCACTCCACACTGTGTCAGACACCTGTTTGACCGTCACATCTCAACATTGCAAGTACAGTCCACTTCATTGAGGGGTGTGAGGGTTCTGCTTCGATAGACTTAAGTTTCATCCATGTCTATTTTCATAGGTAACCATAGAGAAATTAAAAAGTTATTGAGGAATATTTTGGTTTCATAGCAAGGGAATCACACTGTTTTTAAGTAAGAGTACAACACTGTACACTGCTAATCTGTGTTTACACTTTGAGGCAGATATATGCATGCACACACACACACACACATATATATATATTGTAATGCTATTTGTCTACTGAAGATGCCATTTGGATTGTTAATTGGTTCTGTTAACAACTTACAGGTTGTAACTACAATTACGTATAACACTCTTGCGGGCTTACACACTTTACAAACCCTACACACTAATCTCTTCACAGTCTGTCTTCAGTAGTCTTCATGTGTTTATAACATGGGAGCTATACAAGTCTCTCTGAATTACACACTCCAAATATAACTGTACTACAGCACACAAAAGTCTTGAAGTCACACAATAAGTCTTCACTCGCTGACTTCTCAGTTATCGCACACTATCACAGATTATCACATAAAATCTTCTCACCACGCGTTCAGGTCTTCTTTCTGTGACTGCTGCTATATTTCAACTGAACTGCTTAGTCATTCCAGTCTCTCTTATAAACCCTAAGTCGGACAGCAGAAAATGCACCTTGCTTCGCTGTTGTGTGACATCATGTTTACAGAGGCGTTGCTCGGCAACACTGCCAAGAGTGGTTTATTGCTGCGTGGCAACCAGAGCACTTGGGCTTAGCTCGGCACAGTATGTCACGGAGAAACACCGCTTTCCTTAGTGTTGCATAACCTCATTTCCACTGTTGTGTAACTTGGCAACCAACCGTTTATCAAAAGTCTGTCTTCATGGTAACTCATTCCACATCCCGTTTCCCAACAACGGTTTGACATGTCACAGTATTGTCATGTGTATGAGTGGCTATAGATGGGGTTTGGATTGGTAATTAGATTTATTGAACACTTACAGATGGTAACACACACACACACCATACACCAACTGGCTCTACAGCCCTTTGTGGGCCTTGGCCTCCTGCACCAACAGCCTCCAAACATCACTGCCCATTGCAGTGGATCTCCAGTCTTAAACTTTCAGTATCCTAAGGTCTTCTCTGACATCATCAAACCACCTCAATTTTGATCTACCTCTAACTCTTTTAGTATAGATCTTCTCATACAAGATTTTTCATGGCATTCTGTTATCTCCTGTAGTTTTCCAAGTACCAGTAATACATACATACATATCCTTTATTTTCCATAAATATCCATGCAGGTAACAGACCCAGGATGTGGACGTAGTCATATACATACACAAAGTCACATAAGTTACACAGTGAAGATCACCCACATTAACCAATTAACATATACAATAATATGAGGTAAAAAGATAATATCTTGATTAACAGACATAATTTAAAAGTAACTACAATATTACTTGAATTAATATAACTTTTCACATCTCCTATACTAACTATATTAAAATACGGCATTAAAACATTCAAATTTATGTACATTTGTAATTAAAATACTCATTTAATGCATAAAAAGAGTTAGCATATAAAAATCTTTTTAGGGAACGTTCAAAGGATTTCTGGTTATTGGATAATTTTTTAGCTCTTCAGGCAGATGATTGTAGATTTTTATACCCGAATAATATGCACCCTTCTGAACTTTAGTAAGTGAAGTACTTGGTGGAAATAGGTTAACATTCTGTCTGGTACCAATATTATGTACCTCCGTATTTCTTGTAAACAAATGTATGTTATTTATAGTATCTTGCATCAAAGAATATATGTATTGAGAACACAAAGGCAGAATTTTCATTTCCTTGAAAGAGTCTCTACATGAATCTCTTTTCTTTAATCCCATCATAATCCTTATAACGTTCTTTTGGATCATAAAAAGTTTTGTCATGTATGAAGAACTGCCCCAGAAGATAATTCCATATATCATCACAGAATGTATATAAGCATAATGATATCATAGGCTTAACTGTTCTCATAATAAAGCAAGATGAACTCAATTTAGTAACAAGGTAATCAATATGGTTCTTCCAACACAGCCTATTATCAATATTTAGGCCTAAAAATTTGGTACACTCTAAGTTAGTCGGTAAATTTTGATCAATATTATTATGGATATTATGATCCTCATAGTTCATTAAAGTGAACTGAAGAGTGTGGGTTTTATGAATATTTAATTTAACAGATTGGTTCTGAACCATATATTAATATTGCAAAATATTCCGGTCATGGTTGATTTGTAGTCAGCGTATTCCGGATTAGTCACTATTATACTTGTATCATCTGCATATAAGAATATGTTTGTTCCATTAATTGTAACCTTAGTTATGTCATTTATATACAAGAGGAAAATAAGTGGGCCAAGAATTGAGCCTTGGGGTACACCAAATTTTACTTCTGCCCAACTAGACGAGCTATTAAAAGAACTGTTAGGGCCAAGGGTTACTCTTTGATATCTTCCATTCAGGTAAGTTTTAATTAAGGCACAAAACTTGCCAGTTATTGCATAAACTCTAATTTTTTGATAAGTATATCATGATTGACACAATGAAAGGTTTTGTGTAAGTCGCAAAATATTCCTCCAACAAACTGTTTATTACTCATTGCTTTTAGTATTTCCTCTACTAATTTGTAGGATGCTCTTTCTGTAGACGAATTAGGTCTAAAACCATATTGATTATTGTCCAATATATGATTCCTGTCTATATGTTCATGCAATTTATTATATATATAACCCTTTCAAAAACCTTAGAGAAGGCTGACAATAATGAAATAGGCCTATAGTTGGCTGGTTCATATTTATTACCGCTTTTGAAAATTGGCTTAATTCTTCTAATTGCATCATACACTTCTGCAACCGTGGGTACAGGCATGTGCAGTTCAGGGCCAGAAAGACAGTTTCAGCATTCAGAGCTTGCATTGAATTGCATTACTACTTAAACATTCTTCAAAATAATTCTGCCCATCTATTCAGTGTCTCTTTTTCACCAGCAGTTAGATTCCTAGTCTTATCCCAACATACTGTAATTCTTGGGTGAAAGCTCCTCCCAGTGTTTTGCACCCCTCCATAAAATTTCCATACTTCTTTTCTTGACTATCTGTCTTGAATGATATTTTCCTCATATTCCTTTTTCTTTGTGTAGCATGTAGTTTTCACTTATTTCATTGCCTTTGCCTATTCTAATGCATTTGCTCTTGTCCCTCTTTGTAACATTTTCTTCCTTTTTTTTATGCCCAGCACTGTCTGGCAGCCTTAATCAAACCATGCATTCATCATTTTTCCCTAACACTTCCTCAGCTACTGTGTGGGTGCTCTGCTTGGATGCCCTTCCATTTCACTTCTGTGTCATGACCACTTTGAGAGAATTGGTTTCCTAACTGTGGTGCTAGTATCTGTCTATATTAATCATAATTATTTGATCCCTGTTTCAATCCATGTTGAACTTTTTATTCCTAACTCTGATTTATCTGTTTGCTACTGCTAATCTTCATCGATATTTGAATTTGACCAAACGATTGTCCAAATTGCGGTCAGCAATTCTGCAAGATCTAACATCATTGATATCAATAGCATGTCAGACATCAATTAATACAAGGTAAATTTGATTTCTGATTTGACCATTTTGGGATAGAGAAAGACTCCTACTGCTAATAATCATTTTTCTACTTATTGACAAGTCTGTTAGTCTCATGCCATTATTGTTTGACTCTTCATGTAAGCTGTGTCTGCCTACATTACAGATCCTCACATTGTTTTCCAATTTTGCATTGACATCCCCCATAATAATTTTAATATCATACATGGAAGCCTTCTGATATACACAATCAAGTTTGTCATAGAAATATTTCTTTTTAGTCTCATGTTTCTGTTCACTAGGTGCGTGAGTATAATTTAGGGTCATATTGAAAAATCTGCCTCCCAATCTTAAACATCATATCCGTTCTTCTACTGGAGTAAAGTTCATTATAGAACCTTTAATTTCTTGTTACCAGAAAGCCTGTTCCAAATATATTCCTAATAAAAAAAGTGGATTAAAACAACAAACTAAAATCTGTAACTAAAAATATGTTAATTAAAGTAATTTAAGCATGGATACTCTTCTCGTTCATTTTAATATAAGTTTAGTACCCCATTTTTGTACAGAATCTTAAAAAATTATACACTCTGTCACATCTGAGTGCCAGCACCTCCCCTGCTAGAGGAGAAGAGCTGACAGTAGTGTTTCATTTCACAATTTACACCAATATTGAACGCCTCATTACCACGAGGATTAAGAATCACAATACAATTCATGAATACCTGTTGCCAAGGGTTTCCTTAAAACTTTCACTTATATCACACTTCATTGCATTTTATAATGTCCTGAGATTGATGATTCATTGGTAATGATATTCCATAATTTCTAAATTGATTGTACTTTTTTTATAATGAATTTGTTGATAGTGTTTCCCAAGAAATTCCCTTATGGGGTATCACAGAATATTTAAATTTAAGGTCTCACCAATTACATGTGATCTCTTATCAATTTGAGCTTTCTTTCATTCAGCACACAGTTCCAAAAAGCCATCTGAGCAGAAGCACCAACAGTATGGTGCACAAGAGGAGCTTTCAGAGATTCTTAATGACTTCAAGAACAATGTATTTAGCATTGCTGAAGTTGAGAAGTTTGTGGAGAACTGGCGAAACAGAAATGATGTGCAGCAGTCTTTTAAGGATAAACAGGTACTGCTGTAAATATTAAATGTGTGTAGTCTATTTTATTTATTTTAAGTGCTCCTTCAGATATGCATGTGTACCCATTATTCTGTCATTTGCATATTTAAAATTTATGCAATTTTTTTCTTTAAACATAATACATGGAATCAATAGAAGGTATCACTTGTTCATCATCAGGATTGCCATCAATATAAAAACATGTATAAAATCTCACTTTCTTCTAGCACAGTTCTTGTTAATTCAATGCAATAGGCCCTTTATGAACTTAGATCCTATATTTTCCAAGTGCTCTTGTTCTGATTTCAAAATAATATTTGAGGCATTTTACGAGGGTTGTACTGAAAGTCACGAGCAACAATTTTTTGTAAAGTAACATGTTTTATTATTGACAAACCAAATACACCACCTTAATCTACAGACCTTTCTTTATTTGTCCACATAACCGCCACTTTGTACACATTTCTTCCAGTGTTCTGGGCGTTTGAAAATTCCCCTTCAGTAAAATTCTGTTCCAGCCATCCGAATACACTGACAGACTGCTTTCTGAATTGCCTCCCTTGTCTCAAAACATTGTCCATGCAGCTGATCCTTCATAAATCCAAAAAGATGGAAGTCAGAGGGTGCCAGATCAGGGCTATAGGAGGGGTGTGGAAGAACTTCCAACCCCATCTTTGCAATTGCTTCCAATGTGAGGCAAATGGCATGGGGGAGAGTGTTGTCATGCAGGATGATGATGTTTTGTCCTGGATGTTTATCGCGCAGTGCACAACGGAGTTTGTGCAGCATCTGGACATAATGAGCAGCATTGATGGTTTGCCCAGGTTCCAGGAATTCGGCCAGAATAAACCCCTCTACAAACCAGAAGACTGTGCCTATCGCCTTCACAGCTGATGGCACTTTCTTTGCCTTCTTTTTTGATGGAGAATGCAAATGGTGCCATTACATATTCTGCCGTTTTGTTCCAGGCTCGAAATGGTGAAACCAGATTTTGTCACATGTCACAATACAGAACAAAAAATCATCGCCTTCATGTCGATATCTCTGCAGCAGTTCTGAGGTGATGGCTTTACTCTGACCATCCTGGTCTTCAGTCAATAACCGTGGGACCCAACAAGCACAAACTTTCCTATAGCCCAAGCTTTCAATCATCTCCTGTACTGCACTGTGCCCTATTCCAAGTTTTTGGGCTATTGTGTCCACAGTCACATGCCTGTCATCTTGAATGATCTCATCGACTCTTTCCTTGTTGTGCTCAGTTGAGTCTGTTCGAGGACGACCGCTCCGAGGCTCATCTTCGATGCTGGTGTTCCCATCTTTAAAATGTTTCACCTATCTTCGAACACTGCTCGCACCCATGCACACACTTCCATAAGCCCTCTGAAACCTCTGGTGAATTTCTGCAGCAGGCATTTCATCTTTCACAAGAAATTCAATGACAGCACGCTGACGAAACGACATATCGTTGTCGGCCATTTTGTTAGGAGTGATACTGGTCACGTGATGCAAGCTATTGACGTCACAAGACACTCAAGGTTAATACAACAGCTGGTTCCACCTACCACCATACTCTCTTTCGTCTGCTGTTCCCAGGTTGCATGCAAAAAGAAGTTCCTCATGACTTTCGGTACAACCTACATATATGAAGATAGGTACAATTGCTGTCAAGACTCCATGAAAATTTGTAATATTGTTCTTCAGAAAGCAGTTGAGGTAATTATTAATTGATGTTCTTTGCAGGAACAGCTTAATCAGATGCGTGAAGAATATGAACGACTTCAACAGAAAATGAAGGAAAGTATGAAACGTCCCACGCCTTTTGAGCGATTTTGCAAATTATTCAGAGGAAAGCCTAAAGGTTAGAATTTCAATGTGTCATAAGATTAGAATTGCTGGTATGATTAAAATAATTAAATTCAGAGCAATTTCAGTTTTCTCCCCACTGTCACAAATTTAAGTGTGAAGTGCTAGCCATACCATTTACATCTTATTTTATAATCTCGTATCTAAATGTGCTCAAGGAATAGTGAAATAACATGGATCTCATAGAACTATTAAGTTGATATTATGATATAACAACACATTATTGTAAGAAAGTAAAAGTATCTAAAAAGTTTAGTAAATAATTTTTATATAGAATTAGTAACTGGTAATGGTTTGATTCAGCACCAGATTCACTACTGCAGAAATGTGCTCAGAGAATATTAAAATGCAGGCATAGTAAAATATTAGATCTTATAAACCTCTTTATTAGGGTGGTATTATGGTATAGCAGCACTTCATTGTAGGGAAGTAAAATGGTATAAAAGAGTGTACTAAATAAGCACAAAATTGGCCACTTATAATAGTAAGATACGTCAGACACTAAATTCATTAATGAAGGTTAGAAGGTAAAAATACATCTAAAATCAGACTGTATGAGGCTACTGTAAGAGAGTAAAATGGAATGAGGGTGTGTACTAAATGAGTATAAAGTTAATCACTAATAATAATAGGATACATCATTCACTAAATTTGTTAAAAGTCCCATTAGAAAGTAAGTGCAAAAGTAGCTTTCTGATATCAACAGAAGGAGGTAACAAAATATTTTTTAAAGTTTTCTTCTGGTCTCATAAACGGTTTTTGGCGAATGACTTTCTAGGGTTCCCTGTGATCCTTAGGTATGTTGCATCAGTATCAGCTGTAAGTTGCAGCCTTCTACATGGGTTCTTTCATCATGTACAAAATACTTTGAATGTCCATTGAGATAATTTATTGCTTGGGAAGCACAAGTAATAATTATGAAATATTTAGTATACAGTCTTGTGTAATGAAGCAGAATGAACAATTCTAGGTAAATGAGATAAACATGGCAGCATCCAGACACTGGTTACAGGTATGTTTAAAAATTGTCCACCCCTCTTTGAACATGAATAATTCTGCTTTCTCAGCTTAATATGTGTAACATGCTTGAGCTCAATACCTTTTTTGTATTTAGTGGTTATTCACTTGACATGTCACACTTGCTGTGTCTTTCCCTTTCCACCAAAAAGGCTGCACCTTCAGCAGGATTCCATTATTTCATACCATTTTTTATATATTACTGTAATAAATGACAGAACCTTCAGATATTTTATAGAGTTGGTTACAAAATGGAAACATTCTTAGCATGATTGAGCGAATTGCTTTTTCAAAGCTTTGTTTGTAAATATAAGTTCCCAGAAATTACTGCTTCTTTGCCTGACTCAGTATTATCACTTCCTCAAACTCCCTCCCAGTCAATGCTGTTTTACCATTACCTGACTTTTTGTCCTTTGAAATTGGTCATTAGGACTTCCTGTGACAGCTCGTATACCAACTCTGCTATTCAGATTGTAAATATATTTTCATAGCTTTGTATTGTTGGAAGTATGCTGTACATTTTATCTGCTAGAAGACAGGTAATTACTATGTTTGCTGTCAGTATGCACAGAAATTGAAATGGAAAAAATGAGCATCACCTTTCTTAAGATAGTGTATGGTGAAAATGAGGGAAATAACAAAGACAGAATAGCTCATTTCAAGTTTAGAATCAGGCATATGCATATGAACATGATTGCATGTGTAACAGAAAATCTAATGGCCTGTTACACTATCATCTACCTCTGCTACCTCATACGTTACACTTGTGAAGTGAGAACAGAGAAGTGAGTCATGTGATGCACAATTTGAATGAATTATCATACTTACCTTGTTTCTGAACTGTAAGATGAACTCCAGTTGTTAAAGGGAAAATTTTAGGGAAGAAACCTGCTATAATTTCAGACTATAAACTTGTGCAGATATTAGGAAGTATTGTCCAATCTTATAGTCCAGAGAATATGGTGTGACTCCTTTATATTATAAGATTTATTGTATTACAGTAGGCATATGTTACAACAGAGTAACTCAAAATACTGATATAATGGAGGAAGTGTGAAGAAAATTATACTATGTTTCTTTAATAATGAACAGTTGAACTGCATTACATAGGCTATGTTTATGCAGACATAGTAAAATTATCATTGATTTGAGGAACTTATTTTTGTTTGTACTGATGTTTCATTTATTAGGAATTTACTGTATGGCAAACACATGTAAATTCCATCATTTATGACTGCAGTTGGTTTACATCTTTGCAGTTGCTGTGACTTAAATAATTTCCTCCTTAACCCTCTCAGTACCATCCTGTGTGTTACTTACAGCTGATCCTTCTCTTGATAAATGATACAAACTCCATCCCAAGTGCAAACAATATATTATATGTCTTTGATCTTGCTCTCTTTTACACTACATGTTTCAGCCTCAAATGGCCATCATCAGGTGTATAATCTCACGTAGCTGTTACACTGCACTTAGTTTAAAATGTAACATTTTAAAAGCACATTGTTTTTTTCCTTGTTATTATCAACATCTACTTCGTTGATATCTGTCTGGTTTATAGATTATTTTGCACACGTTAATTTTGATTTTCCTGTAGTAGGAAAATCAAAATTAACGTGTGCAAAATAATATATCAACGAAGTAGATGTTGATAATAACAAGGAAAGTGTTTTAAATGTTAAATTTTGGGCTGGGTGCAGTGTGACAGCAATGTGAGTGTTATACACCTGATGATGGCCATCTGAGGCCGAAACATGTAGTGTACAGGAGCAAGATCAAGGACACATAATATACTGTTTGCACTTGGGACGGAATTTGTATCATCATATCATTTATTACTCAAACTTCTGAATAGACATTGCAGTGCTAACTTTTTCAGCAGGCAAAGTGGAGCCATTCTACATATATCTGATTGACCCTTACATTATTATAAATGTACAGTTCTACATTTAGCCCATTTTCAATCTAACCACTCTAAACAATGTTTGTGTGTTTCCAAGTTTTGATTATTATACCAAATTCTTCATTCTTCTTCATTCAGAAACGAAGGAATCTTCAAGTGGATCATCAGGAAGCTATCAAGGAGATGGAACAAAGGCCAACGATAATGAATCCATTCCAGTATGTCAGCGTCCATCTAGCAGCTTAAGTCTCCAGAGTATTTCCAGTGAGTTCAGCTTTAGAAAGATGCAATTAATCAGTTATTCAAAACCAATTTTCCAAATTCAGTGTTTAGTACAATGGAATCCCCATTCATGTCTCTTTTGAAATTCTTTGATTCACTGGAAACCCTTAAATCAAGGAATATTAAATGGAGGTTCCACTGTATACTGTTCACATTTTTCCAGTGCTTTCTGTTCATTTGTAAAAGGCATAAGTAAGCATTTTTCCCAGATTCTCAGAAACAACCTCAAATATATTTCATAAATTTGCATTCAGGGAAATATATGTGTTAATTGACCATTAAATTTTGTAATTTCTTTAACTCATATTATTTTCTGTATTCATGTTCATTTTAGCTCCACTGCTCTAGATGTTTGTTACTTAATTCTGGCCAACACACAGAATAAGGCATGTAACAAAAATGGAAGATGTGAAGAAAGCAGTCTTCTGGGATTTGGCACCGTGTATATGTGGTGTACACGGTGCCAAATCCCAGAAGACTGCTTTCTTCATAGTCACCGCCGTGAAAGCCTCAAATCTTACATGGAGGATGTGATTTTAAAATTTGTGTTCTTTTATTCTACATTCCTTAATCCTCATTTATTTACTTACTTACCTACTTACTTACGCGGGCCATGCCATAGCTCAAGCAGTTAGTCGCTGGCTTCCCACCGCGGTGGCCCAAATTCGATCCCAGGTCTGGTCAAGTGGGTTTTTTGGTGGACAAAGTGGTGCTGGGGCAGGTTTTCTCAGTGTACTTCAGTTTCCCCTGCCAATCTTCATTCCACCAATTGCTCCACAATCACCCTCACCTATCATCTGGGGCTGGTACAATATGCCAGAAGTGGCTGCAGTACAAGGGACTTAGTTCCACCCCACTAGCAATAAAAAAAACATACTTACTGACTTACTTATGGAGCTGAGCCCTTCTTGAGGAGAAGTCAAATCTGCAGCTACTCAAGAATTTCCCCAGCATTTTATGGAACCCAAAGGTTCATTACTGTGTTCACAAGAGCCCTCTACTGGTCCCTATCCTGAGCCAGATCAATCCAATCCATACCATCCTATCTCTCTAAGATCCGTTTTAATATTGTCCACCCACTTACGCCCTCATTTATCACAGATGCAAAGTAATTCACTTCACAGAAATTAACCTGCATAAAGCATAAATTCTGTCTCTCAGAAAGCTGGCAGATAGCACTGATATAACTTACATTTTGTAGAGACAGAAGCTATTAGGTTATCGTTCAAAGACAAAGACCTTGAGGATGTAACAGCATTTACAGGCTATTCTTTTTTCTTATACATGTCAGTACTGTTGTGTGTTATGTTTATCATTTCATTACTTGGGAACCATGATGAAATGCTGTGTGAATATGCTGTCCTGTATCTTGTCCTTTGTACCTTTTTCAGTGTCAGTTATTATGTGATGTTGTGGCTTGTTATAGGTTCATCGTCATCAGGTCGCATGAGTATGGAAAGTGCTTGCAGTGGTGCAAGCCTGGGTGACTCTGGGACACACTCAGATTCTGAAGACAGAAAGGTAAACAGAGTGTTCTGACCTTAATTGGCATGATGCTTCTATGGGGAGAAAAGAAAAGTGTTATTCATTGATGCTTTCCCTGAGAATGAACTGAGTCAAAGAAGCATTTCTGTCATGATTCAATCTAGCAGTGCTTTTCTATTGCATATAATTAATAAATATTTGTAAAAATTACATTGAAATTATATGTATTACAATCTGCTTCATCTTCATCGACATAGAGGTCTCTTGTAAGATGTTCAGTTCATCTAGAACAGCCTGACAGTTCTTACCTAGCTGGTAGCAATAGACTTGGTAATAAGAAGATTAACCATTTCTGGTTGTCGCTTTTGGAGAAATTTCTGCATCCAGGTCCTCGAGGGATTTTAAATGAATGCAGAGCCACTAAGTGAGCTGTTTTGCTCAAAAAGTGGGTGCAGTAAAGGCATAAAGTGAAAAGGCAAACTGTGTACATACCTGCATAATTCAAGAGGACACATATTCCTTTCCTCTTATAATTCTCACTCTTCTATGTACACAGACAATAAAACCCGATAAACTATGGGACCTACACTAAAACATTTTGAAGATCTTGAGGGTGTGATATATTTTGCAACATTCCCCATGACATATGGCTGGTTGATTTATACAAGTCTTACAACAGAACTATGTTTCTTTTCTGTCTTCCTTGACCTTCCGATTGCTGCATACAGTGCAGTCTTTGTGTTCCTTTTTTTCCTAGTGGTAGACGGAGTGAGGCACTGTATTTAGTCTGTGGAATGTTGATGCTGGGGAAGACAACTACATAAAACTATAGCAAATGTTTATTGCTCTTAAAGTGGGTATTACAGATGAGTGGGACCATGTCTGAATAATACCAGTCGAGACCCCTTTCATAGCGGGCTAGCCTGGGCTACTGATGACTGTGCTATTGGAGGCCCCTAAAAGGGCTGTTTTCTAAAGCCAGATGAGACTCTTGGCACAGCGTCTAGTTGATGCTGTTATTGGTAAGGCCAACTGTCAGGCGAAGTTCTTGACACAGTGCGTCAGCCAGGGCTAGAATGAAGCCTTTGTTGTGGCAAGCTAGCCAGTGTGGTGTGCTTCCTTGTAGCAGCCTGATGTTCTTTGATGCAGCCCAGTGATTGCAAGCTGGTGGGATAGTGGTGAGGATTGCTGGCTGGCAGGCCTATGGTGCATGTGCTGGCAGAGTTGGCTGTGGGGCTTTAACTAGTAGAGTTGCTGCTGCGTTGCTGTTGCAGTGAACTCTTGATTCAAGCAGAGCGGTGACTGACGTGACCGATGCTAGCATGTCAGAGGCCAGCATCTTTATACTCTCACCGCTGGGTGGCACACTAACAAATGGGCATTGGAGCTTTTATAGTGATCAGTGTTTGGTTAGCACTTGTGTGGCAGTACAGACAGCCAAGCTGCAGTGCATAAATATGGCCTGTGCTTGCTAGACTGGGAGGTTCCCACAAGTCTCTCTTCTCACTCAGCTGACACCAGATGTGACCTCTTTCTTGGGTTGCACACATTGCCTACTAGGTATTCAGCAAGAGCTCTGTCAATACTTGACATGTGACATTGGTTTCATTCTCATGTGTGCCTTATGGCTGCTGTACAAAATGTATGAAGTTACAATGCACACTTCCAGGCACCAGAAAAAGAGTTTTCTCCACCACTTCAGAGATTTACGAATGAAAGCATATGTTTCACAGTAATTATCACTGCAATCTGCACCACCCGTATGCTTTGTATAGACGAGTAACACCTTGGCTTTTGAATTTCTTTCTGCTGCCCCCCTTTCTGAATGGTCACTATTTTTTCCATTGATGTGTCATGATATGTAGACATGAGAACCACCCTTGTCTTTCCAGCCCATTAGCAGGGTATTCCCTCTTCTGTAGGCAAAAGTTTCCCCCCTCTTCATTCTCTTCTTGGCCCCCTTCCTCACTAGTTTTGGATTTCCAACTCTACCAGCAATAAAAGTGCCTGTTGTGCAGCTTTTTCCGTTTCCCAGTTCTTGGGTGAACTGAACATTACTATAATATCTATCAATGAAAAGGTGGTAGACACACCGAATTCTAGTCTGACCATCAAGGAAAGAACTATTCTTGAAATGAAAGGTTTTTCTGAGTATGACAAGTTACAAATGTCACCAACTAAATATTCATGATTGCAGTGGTATAGTATATAGTGGTAAGTAGCAACGTATGACCTACATATCATCAGAGAAATGAGAAAGAAACTTTGCGATCATATATTGAAATTTGCCCATGGAAGCACTGTCTCTGTGTCAGTCATATATTGACATACAACAGGAAAAGGTTAAATTCAGAAAGGCAACAAATACTAAATAAAGGGTTCTCTCTTCTGGGATATAATGCCATGTAGTCCATTGAAAGTCAACCTGCATTTCAGAGGAACATGTCACTTGCATCTTCAGGGTTGAAGAATAAGCCAAGCAGGAAACCAACATGACCATGAACTTATTCTTTGTCCCCTAACGATGGAGGCAACATGCTCCTCAAAATATCATCCAACTCTCAGTGGATTACACATCTTTATATCCCAGAAGGTAGAGCTCTTCATAATAACTACTGTGAGAACCTCAGATTTGATTTGATTGATTGATTTATTTAACATCCATAACTGTTACATTATGTACAATTGGACAAGTCAGTTTTTTAAAAAAAATATATGAGATTAAACATCACATCAAATGACTAATAATATAAAAAAACCATAGAAAAATAACATAATAAATCCTTTAAATATGATAAAACAGTGGATGAGTATAATAAGGCAACAAAAGCTAAACTATAAATTACATGCAATATCTAAAATAAATTACCTAAGTATCTTTGTTCTATTATTAAGCTAATTCTTGTAAAAATATTCTTGAAGGGAATAAAAAGCTTTGCACAACAAGTAATCCTTTAATTGACGCTTAAAAACCTTGAACTCTTGAATACTTCTTATTTGAGAGGGCAAGTTATTATACAATCTTATTCCCATGTTAATCACACTCCTTTTACAACGTGAGGNTAATTAGATAATTCTTGAATTCGTCCTCTCTTATGAATAGGGCGAACTTTGGCAATCTTCATCTGATCAGGAAAAATTCCAGTACAAAGAGACAAATTAAAAATAAATGTTAAAGGTTTACAAATAGGTTGAATACTAAATTTTACTAACTTTTCTGGGATTTCGTCATAGCCCGCGGAGAGTTTACCTTTTAGTTTACTAGTCACACTAAGTACCTCATTTTCTGTAATTGGTACGAAAAAAATCGATTTAGAAAATGGAGTAACTTTACATGCTTGGTCATACTTAGGTTTTTGATCATTTAATTGGTTTACCATTTTTCCTGCAATTTCAACAAAAAAAGAATTAAAATGACCGGGAGTGAGGAGGGGGTCTAAGTCAGTCATGGAGTCCACATCCGAGGTTTTATCCTGCATAACAAAGTAATGAAGTACATAGCTTTTCTTTAAATTGTGAAATGGTGAAGCAATTGGCAACAAGAAGCATTACTCCACAAATTTGACACTGCCACATATATTTGCCTTAGATTTTGTAGCCTTCTGGGTTGTGATACTATGTAGTCCTGTAGATGGATAGCTGTCTCAACCCAGAAATCACAATGTAAACCCTTAATACTGAGAAAACCTGAGATCTCACACATTCAGGGACCTATGAGTCTGTGTGTAAATTGTTGGGCTTTTGTGCCAAAGGCCTCAGCTTTTAGGTTGGTTGGATAACATGCTTTCTCCATCCATCACCTCTGACAATCTGTAGGTGTGGGGCTCCACCATTGTTCAGAGTCCACATTAAGCTGTATGTATCCAATGCTAGCCATCATCTTTTAATTGCCCTGTCATTAAGAGGAAAATAAACCTTTCTTATTGAAATCTCTCATCTCCCATCAACCTTCATGGCAGATAAATTTAGGAAGTTTAAATAAAATATTGTCTCATGTTGGGTATATCACGTGACAAATAACTTCACACACTCAAATACAATTAGTATCACTTCGACTGCATTCTGCGGTAGCTGTCTTCCAACTGTCTCTGCCCATGGCTGGATCCCAACTGTCTGTTATGTGGACCGGATACCAGACACCATTTCTCATGGTTCTGTTTCTGCTGTTTTGACAGTCTGCTGTTATGCAACAAACCTTTGTTTTTCATCTCCAGGGAGATGTGTTCATTGTTTTGGTATTCTCTACACAATGGCCCACTGTTATTGCGTTACCATGGAAGTATCTACTCCAAACACATTACATTGCCCCCTTCTAAAGGTTGTTCATCCCCAAACAGCCTAAAGGTTTTTCCTTTCTTTCGGGTGTTCACCTTCCTAGCGGTACCTCCGCTGATGTTTGATTCTTCCATCTGCCCCCCTTCTTCCAGAGTGCTCATCCCGAGCACTTCCGTGGTCCAATGGTTGTTGATTCTGTCATCTCACATTCATTCGTCACTTTCATTCTCTCCTCATTCATCCTTGCTGGGGAGGCCAGTGCTTCTACGTTACTGGTTCCTCCCATACGGGCTGTTTCCTTTCTGTTTTGGAGGGGGTCGACCCCTTCACAGTGTCCAATCCTTGATCATGTCTTTCTTGAGAACTTCCCTCTGTCGATGTAATGGCACTTGAGGTGTGGTCTGCACTTGCTGACGTCGTCATTCCTCTTGGTCTTCCTGCCACTTGCTGGTATGAGACCATGGCGCAACAGTGCCCAATGTTGGTTTCACTTTGCTGCTATGGTTACCCCGCAATGGTTGAGACTCATCATAAGGTTGCTTGTGGAGACGCTGTAGACAATTTGCGACGGCCAATTCCTTTCTCTGGGATCTGAAAGTTGCCTGAGTAGTTTCCTTCTTGAAGGCATCTCTCCTGTGTTGTACTGCTGTTGCGCAACGGGACACCTTCCAGTCAGTTTGTGTTTTCCGTGCCACTTTCACACAGTGGCTCGTCCCTCTGCGGGCGATGGCCAGTCTTTTTTGGCACCCATCCTGACTGGGTCTGTTCATTCATCTGGTGGTGGCGCTCTGCGGCCGCTTTTTAGTCCTTGCTCCTTTTCTTCTTCAGATCTCTGACCGGCATTACTTTGGCATCTTCTACAGGGACCTCTTCTTTCTGTGCCACCTCAGGTTTCCTGTCCAGTGAGGTCGGCTGTTCTTCTCCTAGACGTGCCTCCGTCTCTTGGCAGGCCATCGTCTTTATGTTCATTTTTGGTTTTCTTTCGGCCACTATCTCCTTGTTGCTGGAGTCCATCATTTCTCACCTCGCTTGGCGGCAATCTCTTCTAGCCAGGCTTTCGTATCGGCATCCCTCTTTCCTCTCATGGCTGCTGTCTCTTCTCTAAAGGCTTTCCAACCAACCAGCAACTCTTTGGGGTCGGCCTCCTTCAGCAGGAGTTCCATCATCTGGTGTGACTCCATTTTATTTTTTGGTAACGCTTGTTGTGCTCGTAAGTTAAGTTAGTTTCCTGTTGGTCACGTGTGTAAGTCCAACCCCACTTCTGACACCAGCTGTCATGTGTTGGGTATATCACATGACAAATAAACTTCACACACATTTATTCTTACACACTCAAATACAATTAGTATCACTTCAACTGCATTCTGTGGCGGCTATCGTCCAGCTGTCTCTGACCATGGCTGGATCCCAACTATCTCGTTCATACATGTCTCCCTAGTTCTGCTTACAACTCTCTTATATAGGGTTATGCGGACCTGATACCAGACACCATTTCTCATGGTTCCGTTTCTGCTGTTATGCAACGAACCTTCTATTATTCATCTCCAGGGAGAAGCATTCATTGTTTCATCATTCTCTACGCAACGGCCCACTGTTATTGCGTTACCATGGAAGTATCTGCTCCAAACACGTTATAATATCTATACTAGTCATGGAGGAAAATCTTTAATTTAGTTGCATAGTGCTTGTTCCAAAGCCTGTACTTGAATTTTATAGCATTTGGTTTAATTTAGGAAAATACTGTGAAATTAAATTTGCTGCATCTGTGATGGGAAGGGACTGTTGTGAATGTATGAAAAATATTCCCTTGCAACTTTTGTTTTAGGCACTGGGAACATGATGATTCATAAAGGTAACAAGGTAATTCATTCCACGTGCTCAAAAATTCTTCTCAGTTTACAAATATTCTAGTTCCAGAAGATCTTTAGAAACTGCTGAGATTTGAGTTTTTCACAGCTTTGAAGTTTAGATTGTGACCATTTGGGTTGCATCCCACTACATAGCCATGTAGAGACCATTTTGGGGGAACCCCCTGAAGATGGAGGCAGCAGGTTCCTCCAGAACTTTAATAACCACTTACATTACTACACGATGTTGCAACCCACAAAACCCAGTGAGAAATGGTTGTTATCTCCCTTTAAGTATTCTAGTATGAACATTTAAGGATGAGAGTTTAATGATGTGTATTTTAGCACACTAACTCAAAGATATGTTGTTTTCATTCTTAAATAATCTTGCCTCTATACCTGAGTCTTTTGAAAACCAAGTAGCACACAGAAAAATTCTTCATAATATAAACTTTTATGATGCAATCTGAGATTTCTGTTACATAGCAACATGAAAGATTTATATCTTCCTTAAAATATGTTATTATACCAGTCTAGTAATACTCGTATGTTTCTCTAGAGGACTTTCTAAATCCACAGTCATTTTTGGCAGGGATATTTAGAATTTTTTCTAGAAATTCCACCAATTTAACATATTCTTGCTAATAAGTAGAGGATTTCAGCTCAGTAATTATCATATTTTCAAGAAATGTGCTGCATCATGAAGTTAGTTACAAATATGATGCTGTTGTTTCCAGAAAGAAATAAATACTTCTTCTCATCTTAGGTTAGTCATTTGATTTGTTATTTCAATTAAAAATGGAAACATCTGTAATATTTACTTTCTATCTGACAGATGCGGTCTTCATCACCTGATGTAAGAAACTTCAGCAGCAGTATTAAATTTGGCATCCATAGCTATGAAATACCTCCAGCGCCAAGGCCACTTCAGGGAAAGTGTTCTTCTCCACGTTACGCTCCAGCACCTACTCGGCAAAGAACTCCTCTGTTGTCTGCACCCTCTCCTTCTGCTGCTTCTAGTATTTCTATAGAGGTATTATATGTCCTTAGCTTGCATGTTATAGAATCCTGTGTTCCATTTTTCAATTTTGCATTGTAAAAGAGGTAGCAGTTTTTCAGCCAGATAGAAAATAAGCAAGAGTAATTTATAGGAATGCAAAAAAAAAAATGAAATAAGAACTCGCTAATCATGATTTTTATGACTAAGAACATTTGTATTGTGCAAATAAATACTCTAAAAATGTTTTGAAGTTTTCCAAGTGATTGTTGTAAGTGTACTTGAATATGATAATGACTATATAAATATACAAAATTAAGGTAGCTTAGAGTCTGCTATTACATAATGAACTTTTGTAAGTAGTATATTTCCCTAATTTAATGGTCATATTATTGTATTGTTAAACAGAAGTATTTTAAAAGTGTTTTAATTTGCTGCAATTACTAATTTATTTGTTACCTTAAATTCTTCATCTGTACTTATGTCTCAAAGTGAGTCTGTATGATGATTCAGCATAATAAAAATGGAGGTTCTATGGTTTTACTTTCCTTACTTTTTAGAAACGTCCTCCATGGCCTTCACCTCGGCCTGACTTGCTGGAATTTGAGTCATCAAATAGCATTGATCCTAATGGTGGGGACTGCTGTTCTTTCACACAATCCAGTGAGTGTTTTACTAGTTACATGCTTTTGTAACTTTCATTTATTACTTACTTTTCACGTGATCATATTGCAATATTTAGCTTGTTTTGGGACTGTTATGATCTTTCTGGCAATAGCCGCTAAAATCTTAATGTTTGCCTGTTTCTTTTGTCCTCTACAATTTCACTTTATGCCACTGCAAAGCCCCCTTCCTTTATTTTGCACTAAACTCACTTTTAACTCATTTGCATGCACTGTTCCACATCTACTTTGACACGTGTCCTCACTAGCCATTCACACTCACTAAGGCTGAACTCTGCTTTGCAACCACGGTTTTATGCATGTAAAACTTTGAGAATCATTGATTGACAGTGCAAATGAGGTGAGTCTCTGCTTTTCTGGAAGGAACAAGAAGAAGAAAGGTGAATGGGGATTATAGGAGTTTCAAGAGTGAGAGACAAGCACTGGCCAAATTGCACCAACCCCTCCCCACTTCTTATTTAGTCCCTTGCCTGTATACACTTATACATATTGTAGCGTGTTATATGTTGTCCATCGCTGAGCAACGAAGCAATGGAAATTGTTGAGACCATTGCGTAGGAATATCCATAGCAACGAGTGTTCATTGCATAACAATGCTTGGTAAACCCCTCCCCACTAGGCTGTGACGTCACGCAACAGGGGTGTCCGTGCAGCAACTGTTGCTAGTCAATCAGTAAACATGTTTTCTGTGTGGTCAGGGTGGAAGCTACATAACGAGAGTACTCGTCAGTGTTGATTCAGTGTGTTTAGTATGACTATTGAGTATGCAGTATTGAGCACGAGTTACGAGTATTGAGGCAGTTACGAGTTTCGAGTTTTGAGCAGTTGAGAGCGGCAGAAGCAAGCAAAGCGGATCAAGGAATACAGAAGATTGCCTGTGAGGATGTCAACTGTGATGTAGAAGACTCCATATGTGCAGTGGTGCATGCAACAGTGGATTAGAAGATCTAGTGTATGTAAGTCAGCAATAGAGCTGTATTAGAGTGTAATTGAGAGAGTGCGTGTAACCAAGCTGTTAATATATCCAAACATCTGAACTAGAACCCATCATTTCATCATGCGTACCCTCTACATGTGACAATATAAAACATACATACAGGATTAATCACTTAATATTATCATCTGGAATCCTTTATTATCCATGGCTGTGGAGGCCCATAGGGTTGTGAGATGTCAAGGCTCCCACATTTTCTAAACAATAGGTGGGTGTCAGCCTAACGTGCCAGCCGCCCTTTACACCCAGGAAGATTTCTGGTACTCATTTCTGTTAGAGGTTGAGTCTTAGTCACACTGCAACTCTACTAACACGTGAATTCTTGCCATCAAGCTGTGTCTGCTTATCAGTCTTTGCCTTCAAAGGCACACTTTCTACTGTACCAGTTAGTCTGAGAGAACGGACATTATATAGAGTCAACACATTGGTCCTGCTGCCAAATACATGCATTACACCATGTCAGTCAACTTTGGCTACTCAACAGTACACAAAATTCCAGAAAGATTACTCCTTATACTCAGCAAAGAATACAGACTAATGTACAGCTTAAAGTTATAATTTTACTTTGATTGACCAAATGGGCTATATATGATTAATTAAAATGTAATATGAGTGTGTGAAGTGCCGAGTTACATATAAAATTTGAACTTATTGGTAATTGGAAAAGACTTACATTTTGACAAATTCTGTCATTTATATGCTTGCATCTTTGAAAAATTAAGTCATGTCTGACCAAATTCATTATTATTGTGTCTCCATTTTCATAATCTCCACATTTTTACCAATTTATACTTACAGTCTTTACATCTCTGGCTGATTTGTGTATATCACTTGATGATGACTATTTACAGTTGAAACATGTCATGTGCGGTACTATTTTTGGTAAGGGAAGCAGTGGTATCTAATAAACAAACTGATAGCCTCTTTCCTAAATGGGAGATGATCATATTTCCTCAACAAGTGAACTAATTCCACATAATTACCTTGGTCGATAGAATCCACGCTTTCGTCATGACCACGGAGGCCAAGTTGCCACTTTCCTAAATGGCAGATGATATCAATCAAGCGTTTCATTATTTCTCTATTTTCTTTTTCATTTTCATTCTGCTGTAGTATCATCAGGCGCTTTTGATTGTCACGTTGACAGTCAATTCGAGATTTCCCAAACATTGCATTGTTGAAATAATATGAGTCTGAGAGTTCTCATGTCATTTCATTGCTTTATGAAGATTGTTGATATCACCAAACCCAGTCTTGTTGCATACATTTTTTTCATTGAGAAACACTAGGCATGGCCAACAGAACAATTTTCCTATATTACGGTAACCAGATAGCCACTCTGTTTTAGAATACTGTTCCAAATTAAATTTCCTCACACATAATTTGGTTTGTGCTCTAAGTTCTGGCAACTCTCATGTCGGTCATCCTCTTTCTAAAATTATTTTCTTTTCAGGAAAGTCCCTGCTATTAAACCCCCATTTTAAAAGGCTTTCGACTGCACAGTCACAGTCGCGTTGTCTCCCAGCATTCATTTTAGCTGTGGCCTGTGCGTGTAGTCTATTCATGCCCCTGCCCCTCTTACCACAATATCAGACTTGCTTCCCTTAAACGCGGATAGCTTCTTTCTGATGCATCAAAACATGATCATAAATACAGTCTTACGCCATCTAAATATCTTATATTATATATCTCTAAATATCACTTACAATATTTTAATAAAACTTAATATTTTCTATAACATGCAACAAGACTGAAATCTCATAGAGATGCTGGGTTTTCGGACTTTATCCATTGTCCTGGTTTTAAGATAACTAAGAAAAACATGACATTTCGGAAACTGGATCTGTTTTCATCCTCAGGTGAGGGAAAACACCTGTTCTGTTGGGTCCCTTAGAAAGAGCTAGCCTTGAGGCCTCTAATGGACCCAACAGAATAGGTGTTTTCCCTCACCTGAGGACGGAAACAGATCCAGTTTCCGAAACGTGTTTTTCTTAGTTATCTTAAAACCAAGACGATGGTTAAAGTCCAAAAACCCAATATCTCTATGTGTTATACACCATCGTCAGAATCAGTAAAGACTGAAATCACACATAAACAATTAATTTTCACATAACCATCAAAAGAACACATTCCTTCGCTTCTCTATCGCAGGCCTAGCCAGCAAACTGAAATTTGCTTCCCTGACCACTTTGGGTGAGACAAACTCATACAAAGATTAATGAAAGGGAACTTGGACCCTCCCCCCAAGGAGGGGTAGGGAGGAGGCAGATGAGGCATGTGGCCTTGAGAATCATCACACTCTAAAATGTTCAGAACATGACAATATTTACATCCTTATTATTCAAATTGAATTATTTATGTATGACTTCTTTTCTTAACTATGGAAGCAACGCTTCCCTTGCTTCCATGCATGGCATACCACTGGCTTATTATAAGAAATGCAAATCAGAAAAGTATTTTAATATAACTTTGTGTGACTTTTACCTCAAGACTGTTGCAGTGTAAGTAGTTCTTGGGACATGTTTCTGTAACTGTGCTATATATCTGGGTATTTTCTGAATATGATACATTGTGTTCTGATTTTGTTCTATACTAGGATCTTTACAATGCATTTATATCTATCTGTCTAACTGTCCAATTTACATGTAAGACTGTTTGAACTGGTGGTAAAAAAATGCATAAATTGCTAGCATCAATCAAATTAATCATCTGACTGTCAACTTTTTATGGTATATTGTATACTGCTAAAGAGAATTGTTTCACCCTCCCCCATGAAAGACGGAACACTACACTGGCAGAGGTAGGATATACTGGTCTTCCAGATCCAAGAGATTTATAATAAAAATAAAGTTATTCCTGAGCTATGTTAAGCACTATGCCACAAAGACATATGGGGACAGACAGTACAGCTATATGCATTATTTTCATATTGTGGCATGCTGCCAAAAAGGACAGAAGACATGTCCATTGATACGCAAGGGCTGCGATAAGAATGTATACTTCCATGGAAATGCAATACCAGTGGGCCATTGCCTAGGAATACCTTAAGCAACAAACGCTTTTCTCTGGAGATGAAAGGACAACAAAAGGGTCATTGCATAACAGCAGCCGAGACCAAAGGCTCCTACATGGTGCACTCTATGCCGTCCAAGACAAAGTTATAAAAGTCCAGCTTCGAAGAGACCAGTCAGTTTTTAGTGTAGCTCTGACTAGAGCAGGAGCAAGCTCACATCCAACAAAGAGATACCGAGAACAGTTGTGCAAGTAATTGTAACAGTGAAGTTGTGAATGACTGTACTTGTGAGTGTAAAAGAGATTGTCCAATGAGTGTCTTAACCAAATCCGAGACCTGCATGAATTTACTTGTTGCGTTACATAGGCAACATGTGACAATATATATGTGTATATATGTACATTACATTGCATTGCATTACATTATATTACAGAGACCCAGAGTTAGTAAAAAATGACCATACAGTGTGGAAAAATTCATAGAAACATTGAACATTTATGTACAGTACAACTGAAGCATTCACATCAAAATATTAAATACACAGGGATTCCACATACTTTTCCACTTATGCTATTCATGTAAACATTAGAGTACATCATTAGGTCATTTTTAGACAAAAGTAATTCACCAACATAATAGAATGAGTGTGTATTATATATCTTTTAATGCTATTTAAATTGTGTTTTCTCATTCATGAAACTTTTGAGGCTAGATGGTAGATTGCTGAAAACTTTGATGCCATCACACTATGAACTATTTTGAAACATCAAAGGCTGGCAGTTGGTCCATAAAGAAGGTGCTTGTTCCATGTGTTAGCTCTGTGTATGGCTGAAACAATCTGCAAGTGTTCTTGATTATTTACAATGAAGTTTGTTAATGAAAATGTGTATCCATGTGGAAGAGGTCAGATCACTAATCTTTAAATACACGTCAAAATGAATCTCTATGTTTGACATCTGTCATTATTCTAAAAATATATCATAAATATTGTTTTGCTCTTAGATAAATTAACCCAGAAAATTATTCCATACATTACTGTAGAGTGAATGTAGGCAAAATAAATTGATTCGAGAGTGTCAGTGTTGCTGACATGTAACATAGATCTAACTGCTTAACATGCTTCACTTAACTTAGAAACGAACTGATCCATATGACATTTCCAATTTAAGTGTATATCAATTTCTAAGCTAAGGAATTTTGTATGTACTGACTCTTTTGTGCACTTATCATTGTATCAAATGTTTAATTGTACCAAAATGAATTATTTGTTATTTATATTATTATATTTTTTTATATAGATTCACATGGAGCTTGTTAGCAATAAACTCCCTAGTTTGAGTAGGAATTTGGAGTTGCATTAGATGATTTTATTTTGTTCTCTTGTTTTTTGTTTGTTAGATTGATTCTGAACCAACTTGTCACTCTTCCCTTAATGCCAAAAATGTGTAACTTAGCAAGATTTCTTGATTTACACTGTTCAAAACCTTTTGCAAAATTACAGAATAATCCACCAGCATGGATTTTCTTTCTGTTAGTAGATTTTAATGTGCTGTCTGTTAATTTAGTGGCAGTGTTTTTAGTGGATATTCCATTTCTGAAGCCAAACTGTTTAGTGATCAGCATGTTATCAGTCTGCAAACAGTGGCTTATCTATTTTACATAATATTATCAAGCACTTTATAAAATCTAGCTAACAGTAAAAATGGACTATAATTTTATCATACTCATTGTAACACTTAATATCAAGCACAATAGACCACTGTAGGTCGCAGTGCAAGGGCCGAGAAGGCCTACCCCTCATACATTCATACATACAACACTTAATATCAGCACTAGATAGAGGTGAATGTTTTGATTTATATCCCAGATGCTTCAACCCCCTTTCCCATTTAGTAGGAGGCTGGATGGGCCCCAGAGCTATGTGCTGCAGACAAGAGAAGAATATCTTTCCTGTACCAGGAATCAAACCCTGATTTTTCAGTTGTCTTTCTCATATTCAGATTGCTGTAACGACTTATCTATCTTGGATCCTAAGAAATTAAATGAAAAGCAGATTTTTAAAACTTCAACACTTAAATGTAGATCTGAAACTTGTTAATATTTTTAAGTCTCCATAAACTCATAAATAACTGACAAATGGGTCAGATCTGTCATAAACAAAGACACTGATTGTAAGAGATTGAGAAACGTTGATGCAGTATTGCCTTACTGGATTCAAAATACTCTCTTATGGTATTGAAAATAGAAATCTATATTTACATACTGGTTTTAGCATTTTGAAGATCAAAACATAATATTTCTTTGGTTCCTCATTTTAGCCATGATCCTGCAGTCCCCAACGAGTAAGACGAGGGCGTGTAAGAGCAACAATAGTGCTGAACAGCGTAGTTCAAGTGAAAATGGGGATTGTGAATATTTAGAACTGCAACATGGTCCCATTAGTGATGATTTGAAGACAGAAGACATTGATGTCCTTGGTGTAGACTCTCAGAAGGCCTCTGTGGCAGAGACTACAACAAATATGAAATCAGGAGAGGATTCATCTCAAATGGAGCTTGGTACAGTTAATACTCTTTATCCACCAAAGAGCCCAGCTCCAAGTGATGATTCAGACTTACCTGATTATGTGAATGTGACTGTCTCAACTTCTGATGCATGTATTCCACCTCCTGTACCACCTAGAAATAAGTAGGTTTTTGAAGTTGCTAGTTATCAAATTGTAAAGGTACAGAACCAAGAATAATAGTTTCTGCAGGTCATCTCAACAACAGTATCAGCACACTGAATCACTTATACACAAATATACTTTCATTTCAAATGCAACTTTATTTTTCATTTACTCCTGCTTTCTGCTAAATGTTTCAGCAATAATCAGCCATCATCTGGCAACTGTCCATCTTGGTAAAACCATTAGACTGTATTTTCGACTGTGTTTAAAATGAATTAGTTCCAAATTTAAATACGTCAGTGTTGTCCCATTTATTGTCTCCTGTTCATAAATGATGTCTGTTTGAGTACATTACTCATCATTATGTTTTCTCATGCTATTTTCCTCGTGCTGCATCAGTGTCTTTTGTTTTGTTTAGTGCAATTTTTATGGATGTTGTTGTAATGTTATTAGATGCTCCATTGGTTTGTATATTTCAGTGGTGCTGGATTAGATGAGTGTTTATGTGTGTGTGTTAGAGTGCCCAGAACCAGATTATCAAGGCACTCCACCACACGTACATAAAAAAATCCCAAGAAGACACAGAGAAGAGAAAATGAAAAAGAAATGAAATTGACAACAGGGACACCAGGTTAGGCAATGTGGTGACACAGTGTGACTGTGCCTTCCTACTGCATAGTACACATAAAGGAAGAGGCATCAGTTTGACAAACTAGAATAAATCTCTGTGACATACGGTCATTCACCACTTTAACCCTGATAATGGAGACTAGGGAGATCTCCGAAATGTTGGTTTTTAGTTCAACATTGACACTGCTGATTGCCTGAAAAGATTTTAGTAATATTTACGTGTTTATTTTTTGTATTTACTCACCTCCAGCTAATGCCAAGGTCAAGAATACATGGATCTATACATCCACTCCCCCATGCACCTTCATGACGTAGTGCTCTTTAGATAAGCACAGGAACAACTTCGCCTTTACTTTAAGTTTTGTGTCTGGCATGTGGATCATCTCTTACCTACTTAATGGTTGTAACTCAGAATGACAAAATTACAGTTTCTGTTGTTACAAAGGAAAACAGGTACTGTATTAACAATTTATCCTTGAAAACTTGATTTAAACTTATACAAATATTAAGTTATTTCTTTAATGGGTAATTCAATTCAGACTTATTCACTGTTTCTAAATTACTATTTATAACTGCTTATGTTAGTGAATGTTTCTGTTGAGAAATAAGAATTCGAAATCTGATTTGTGCAAAACAAAGAAGGGCATAATTTTATGCGCTATTTTGCTGATACAGTGAAGTCCTATCAAGGAACTGTACTAAGCTTTTCATACAGCACTTAGTTTTAACCCCTCTTGGAGTTATTATAAATTTTATGCAAGCTTGTCTTTAAGATGAGGTACTTTCATATCTTTTTCTGTATTAAAATTGAAATGATATTAAAATGAAAGTATTAGGATTGATCTTTAAAGGAAGTTCCCTCTGTGATAAAAAATCAATAAATCCATTGACAAGTAAGCCACTTTAATTATATGGAATGTAATATTCTGTATTTAAGAAGAAGAATTAGACATAAAACTGGATAAACTTAATTACATTTGTTAGGCAATAAAAACGTTAAAAAATAAACAAGGAAAGGTACACAGACAGCGGTTTTTAGAATTATGGCCATTGTGACAATAAGAGAAATTCTGGTCATCAGACATTTCTTCAGTAGTGGAACCATGCATACCCATGCCATTGCAATTGCTCTTTACCAGCCTACTTACCACCATCACACAATATACAAGATATATCAAATATTCTACCTTGTATAATATCATACTCATAAAAATAGGTAAAGGTAACGGTATCTCTGTAACAGGCTGTGGAGATCCATAGGGTGAGATGTTGAGGCTCCCACATCAGCTCAGAGATGGCACTGAGGATGTTAGCCTTATGAGCTGACTTTCTTTTACTCCCAGGAAGATTCCTGATACTCATTTCTGTTAGTGGCTGATTCAACCCCAGAGCCATAGTGCAGTTGGAAAGATCAGGTCAATTGAAAAATCCAGTGACCTCAATGGGAATCAAACCCATGACCTTCGGACTTTTAGCACAGTGCCTTAACCAACCCCGTCCCCTACTATATAATATTGTCATGTTATAGGGGTGCAACTATAGATAGGGTATGGATTGGTGAATGAATTTACTGACCACTTATACACACACCTCAGAACTGCAAGTAATTACAGCGCTATCGCTAATCCCAGATTACCACAGCACCTGCTGTTCCTTCTCCAGCCTGCCATGTTTTCACCTGCCATTCCATAGCAAAGGCTTCTAGCAGTGAACATTCTTCAACTTCACATGCTTAGATCCTCTTATCAAAGCTGCCCATGCAGAACTCTCGTCAGTTGTCAACTTAATTATAGCACCATCTGTCCTCAGCCTCTTTTGCAGAGCTCAACTGACTGGTTGCCCCAATTCTCTTCTTTTTATAACTCCTTTGTGCAGACCATGTAGACAACACCCTGTTTCCCTTATGGCATGTGTAACTGTTGCCGCAGGAATGTGTTTACCAAGCAGTAACTCTGTTGTTGTAGAGGCATGTTTACTGTGCTGTTGCACAGCTGTCCTGTTGTTTGTTTCAATGTAATGTGCCTATACTCCACACTACTATATGAATACAAAATATCATTCATGTCTGAATCTTTTGTTTGACATCCTGTATAGAAAAAAAAAGGGAGAGAATACATATAAACAAATTAATTCAATAGTTTTTCACTCATTGCAGGCTAGTAGGCAAGTGGTTTGTTAGTCCTGATGGTGAGGATATTTGGAGAATTATAATGAATTGATTTGTGGATAAATTAATAATGGACAGTCAACTCTGAACAACTATTGGGTGTAAAATTATAAAGGGAAAGTAAATAGAACTCTAAATATTGTAGCATATTCGCTCAAAGCAAGAATCGTAGAGTCACAACAACCAGCCATTTCTAGACAGTAGGCCATAAACAACAACAGAGAAATGGTGTTTTCTGTTCAGTCCCTGCTGATGGCTTTACACAACAATGGAATATGTCACTAGGCAACAACTTCCCTGTGGCAGAAGAATGGTGTTTTCTATGCAGTCCATGCCAAGATGTTATAAGCAGAACAAGTTAGGAGCTGCAATGAGTTAGAGAACTGCTGGGATTCAGTTAGTTGACAGTTGCAGAAGGTGGTAGCTGAGGCTGGGGACAGTTTGGGAACACAGAGGAAGGGGAATGTCCACCATTGGAAGCTGCTACCAAGCAGCGCAGTGAAGACCGTGACTGAGAACACTAGTCTCTGTGTGATAGGGACTTGTAAAGTGCAGTCATGAATTGTGTGTTAAAAGTGTCCAATAAATCTGATTACCAATCCAAACCCCATCTGTGCTCACTCAACATGTGACAATATCAATTTTCCTGCAGTCTTCCACAGTGCCATTGAAAACATAAAAACTTAAATAAAATTATGCACATGAAATTACACTAAGACGGAAAACACTTAATGGCAAGTACACTAAGCTGTGTTTCTGAGTAATGTGGTCTTTACAAAAGCAGGACAACATACTGCACACCATAATACATGCTACCTATTCTAATTAAATCGTTAACTAGTCTGAAGTCTTGAACTCTTAAGTTGTTACTTCTTATGTATGTGAACTTGGAAGGTAAATTAGATTTGACAGATATTTGATGGATAAAAAGAAAGATGGAAACATGTCCATGGACACAGTGTCTGGGTAGCTTTTATTATTGAAAATAATTTGTAATGAGAAAACATGTAAGAAATGTGTTAAATACTGGAGTTATAGTGGTAGCTGGATTAGATGAATGTCAGTGTTTTACAGAGATTATATGCTATAAATATAGGCAGTTAATTGAGACAGAAAAACTACACCTTTCTGAAAGCTGGAAAAATTGGAGGAATTAATCGGTAGGAATGAATTCATGTGGACAAAGTAGCTATGGACCTCAGTCATGAATCTAATCTTAAGAAATGCAATATTTATCATTTCCGTATTTAATAATGTATGTAAACCTAATATTTAAAGCCAATATTTTGCAAAGTAACATAGTTTGTAGTTTGTTATATTGTATGAACACTTATTTGCAGACAACTGATATTTTATATTATATATTTAAGTTCTTAATTAATTGCATTTATATAATATTAATTTTGTACTATAATTTTTATATTCCTGTTCCTATGGAGTAAATATTACTAAGCTAATATAAAAAGTAGATTGTGTGTATGTGTCATAAAATCAAATGTTATTAATAAATCAAAATATTATTGTGGTAGAAAATTATAAAGAACAAGACAATTCTGTTCATGAAGTGAAAGTCTGTCTGCTTTAGAGGGCGAAATAGAACATATGGCATCTATGTGAAAGAATCCTGTAAAGCATGTTCAATAAAACCAGAATAAAATATATTGTGTTAAAAATTTTTAGTTAAAAGCATTGTCTTCCTTGAACACTATAATCAGGGATGTGATGCTATGTAGTGTGTAGATTTGAATGTATCCTGGACTACGTAACCTCACATCCCAGAGGATAGTGCTTTACATAACCACTGCTATGAGAACCTTGAAGCTAATATTGTCTTTTTTCTCAGAGTACTGTAGGAAATTCCCTTTATGCAGATAGGTTTCATTCTGTAAATTCATTCAAAAGTCTATCTTCAGAACTTGGAACTTAATTTCACATAGGCATAATAAAATAAATTGTAGCTTGTTTATCATATAATTAAGCTGAACTATGCTGCATATATATATATATATATNAGTGTGTTTATTATATATAAATAATCTGATATACGATTCATATATATATATATATATATATATATCTATATATATATATATATATATATGCCATTTATGCAACTTTTGTGCAGTTATTATAAATGCAGTATCTTTTTACATTTAGCTACTTTTTTTTACCTTGAAAGTCATCATCAGGATGCAGTGTGTGTTCTCATGAAACTGCTGTTAATTGCTTATGTTGTTGGTACTGACCAATATACTTGTGTTACATTAAACAAAAATTTGGGAACTTGCATGGCATTTTCTCCTCCTTTGTTCCTCTTCCATGAGAAGAGGAGACATTTAGATAGGAACAAAATGTGTGGCACATATAACTAGGAGAAGCCTTCATTTCGCATGAGTTGGAAGACAGCCTTCATAATGACGAGGTTGGGTGGGCCCCAGAGCCAGTCTGGATGACATGTAAAAAAGAAAGTTCTTGACCTTATCCGGACTCGAACTCCGATCCCTCGGTCTTCCAACCTGTAGCCAGTCGCTATCCCGGCTCCTACTTTTGTAGTGGAAGAAGCAAAAATGACTACCCAGTCCTTGATGCTGATAATTATTTTTAACTTCGTTTTGATTATGGTTACTCTTATCGTGCTTTTAGACGCGATCTTTTCCCAAATTATTACGATGTATCATTTTATATCCTTTCCTTGAAAGAAACTATAAATCGATTTATGACATTCTACACCTTGTATTTTCTGTATTGAATGTCTGCTCTGTACAGCAACGTTTATTGACAATTTAATAGTGCTAACCCCGGTTTTTAACAGACAGAAATCGACTATTATACACATTTCCCCTGTTGACCGCAAGAAGTATCGTTACCCATAGTGGTGTCCTAGGAATACGTTATAGATTGGTTGTTCAGGGCATGATTTCCGGTAAGGGCAGTCTTTTTCTCTTCTTCAGGACCTTCAGGACTGTCTACCATGCCAAAGAAGTCCAGTCAGCTTGTTCTCCAGGGACATCGATGGCACTTCTTCCAGGAATAAAACGGCCGGACGTGATCACACTCCTCCATCTTGTGCCGATGTCCAGAATGCGTGAAAATTAACCTCCAAATTCTCCGTAAGCCTTTTTGAAGACATGGGTAGACTTTCGAGACATATCAGGAAATACGTGATATCTTGATATCACGAAGGAAATGGTGTTGAATATCCTGGTAAGTATCTTCCGCTGTACGAGTGTGTCAATGTGGAAGTCACGAAGCCGCTCCCAGCTCTTTGCAGGAGAGAGATTAGTAGAAGAAATTTCACTTTGAGGAATCGTTATGGAGGTCGAGCGAGCGGTCTATGAAGGTCTATGAATGAGGCGGAGGCAAAGTACATTGAAAGCAGGTGCATGAGTCAGACCTACATCAGAGGCAGACAAGGCGCGGCCGGCTATTAGCATTCATAGTACGCTCCATGCAGAAATCGTCTTGTATGCACTGAAGTGAGGCTGATGTTCCGCATGGTACGTAGATTTCATTTGGCTTTCGGGGGATTTCGAAAATATCCAGAGAAAGCTGACTCTTGTTGGGCTTACATAGACGCGTAAATCAAATGTGCTACTGATACCTCCATATAGGGGCCTCAATTACAAAATATTTATTTTCTTAGTTTTTCAAGAAAATGCGTCTTTTTTTTTCCATAATGTTGAATGATAACATTTCCGTGGTACGTGTTAAATAAAGGCGGTGTAATAATTAGTAAATTTACCTTTCATTAATATCAGGCATTTCGGTGGGCCATTCCACTGGAGTTCTGGAACGGCTTCTAACAATGGCTATTCCTTTACTTTCGTCTTCAAGTTCTGTCTGAATGGTGGCTTCATTCCAACTCCGAATTCTTGCTCCAGTTGTCCTCCTTATAACCTCCGGCACGGACCACTGTAGAAAATACAGTTCCCAAAGTACCTCCACTGTTGCGCGTTGATTCGGTGCTGTGGAGACGTGTTTGTTTGCAACTGTTACCTAGTAACGGTTCTGGTATATTTGCTTACCTCGCAGTCGTTGCATAATAACGACTCTACGAGCTACGACATATTAAATATACGCTTCAGTTCACTGGTGAACTTGGATAATAAAGTTACATTATTGTCGTGAATATACATCATCTAGTCCTGCGCAGTTGAGGACTGATTACGTCAGGAACTCTGCAGCTTAAACCCGGGTAAAATGTAATTTAATGTGGTTCGTGTAATATAAGAGAGAAATAAGAATAAAATAAATCTAAGCATCCGATTGATTCAGCTGCATGTGGGTAGGAGAAATTGTAGCACTTATGGCTGACTCTCCTATTGTTTATTTATTCCATTTATATTTTAATTAAGAAAAATTTCAATTACAATAAAAACCCATATTTTAAATTGATAGGAGAGATTTTATAATTACTTAGTAGTATAAATATATTCCTTAGAAGGAAACAAAAAATTCAAACCCCTAATGGAGGGAAAATGTTTCTCTCAACAGGGTGTTTTATTTGGGATCCATAAGTCGTTACTTTTTCCGTGTACGTATGTCAGATTCTATATACAGTGCGTACAATCAAGTGCGCGCCGCGGCTGCAATTTGCCGTGAGTCATACCACCGCAGAACGGATGCAACTCCTCCCCGCGACTGCAGTGCTCCTACGCCGATGGTTGCATAATCGGAACCCGAGGTTGCATTAAACAGTCAGTCTTTGTCTTGCTGTGGAAGTGGAGTGGAATGTTTACAGCTGTCGACAGACGGTGGAAATGAAGTTCACTATTAAACAGCGTGTGTTTATTGTCGAAACTATTGCAAGGAAAAACATTTACAGAAAATTCGCACGTAGGTTTCGTCAGAAATATCCTGACTCGCCAGTTCCCACAAAGTCGTGTGTAAACAGGCTTCTGAAAAAGTGGCGGGCCACAGGTTCAGTGAGTGACAAGAAGAAGCAATCGAAGAGAACTGTGCTGACTGAAGAAAAGGTTAAGGATATTCAGGCAAGATTACAGATCAGTCCTCGAAAATCGTTAAGACGCTTAGCACAGGAAACTGGTGTTTCGCTAGGATCTGCTCGCACAGCCACAAAGTTAATCAAATTTCGCCCGTATAAAGTAACAGTTGTGCATGAGCTGAAAGAACCAGATCATGCAGCAAGAATTCGTTTTTGCAACTGGCTGCTGCAAAATGTACACGATGGAATAGTGGATCCTCAGCTTCTATTCATGACTGATGAAGCGTGGTTCCACGTTGGTGGCCACGTCAATGCACAAAACGTAAGAATATGGAGCAATGAAAATCCTCACGCTATACAGCAAGTGCCATTACATAGTGAAAAGGTGGGTGTGTGGTGTGCTGTAAGCCCGCGGCGAATCATTGGCCCCATATTTTTCCACGATACCGTGAACTCTGATCGGTACATTAATGACATACTGAATCCCTTCTTCGATCAGTTGAATGCCGAAGAAAGACAATACGGGTATTTTCAGCAGGACAACGCTACAGCACATACGGCTAATGCATCCATGGTCGCAATACAGGAAGTGTTTGAAGACAGAATTGTCAGTAGAGGACTGTGGCCTCCCAGATCCCCAGATCTCAGTATTTCTGATTATTATCTTTGGGGCAACCTGAAGCAAAAAGTCTACAAAAATAATCCCCGCAGCATTGATAGTCTTCAAAATGAAATTACACGCGTAATTCATTCAATTACCGTCGACGAACTGCAGAGAGTGTCGCGTAATTTATTTGTGAGATGCGCGGCATGTTTGCAAGCAGAAGGAGGTCACTTTCAGCACCTGTTATAAACCACGGTAAGTTATCTTTTTACTGTATTCTTATAAATGTGTGCATGTAGAGCAACTGATGGACGGAGACTCAGCGACACCACTACACTCACGCTATCGGGGAACGGCACTGCAGTCGCGGGGAGAAGTTGCATCCGTTCTGCGGTGGTATGACTCACGGCAAATTGCAGCCGCGGCGCGCACTTGATTGTACGCACTGTATTTTATGCTTATATGTGACGGTATTCGATAAAATTTAATACTGGGCTTCTAACAAAAATTTAATTGTCTGTATACTTCTAACTAAAATTTTAGTGACATCGACAAATATACAATTTCTGCTGTTCATTTCTTGCAGAACTTAAAATATTATCAGGTCGATCGCACGAAATCTGTGTTTACTCTTTTATTTGATCAGCCATTATAGTTAGCAGATGTAATGTGACGTAATTGTTTATACCTTCCCGAAAATCTTGTCTGACACATTTCATTTTGACATTAAAAATCCGAAAATAAAATAAAAAGACGCATGCTTGCCATAATAAAAAAGGTAAAACTCTCCGTGTAACAGGCCGTGAAGGCCCATAGGGATGTGAGAGTTCGAGGCTTCCACATCTTCTAGACAATCAGCTCACAGATTGTCAGCCCTACTCGCCGGAAGCCTTTTACCCCATAGGAAAATTCCTGCTACTCATTTCTGTTTGAGGCTGAGTCAACCCCAGGGCAATAGTGCGGCTGGAAGTATTAGGAATTTGAAAAATATCAATTGACTTAATCGGGAATCGAAGCCGCTTTTAGCCGGCTTTTAGCATAGTGCCTCAACCAACCACGACACAGCATGCCCCCCATGCTTTCCATACTAGTGAAAATTATACCGAAAGAATCACAGAGTAGGCGAATATGGTGTAGTGTGTAGTAACTGTTAAAACCATCTTGATTATGCAGCATATCAGACGAACCCAACGGACAACGAAAAATCGAGAACAAGCCTTTGGAGACGGTGCAATAAGCATAATTATTTTTTAAGAGCTGTAAGAGAAGGCAATAACGTTATGTAGCTCACGATATCTCAGAATAATAATCTTTCTACTTTTGAGTACATATTGTTGTAGAGCACAAGCAGTTCAGTACAAGATAAACAGGTGGTTCATTCTGGATTTTGTATGGA